GAATCTCTTTTGGCCAGGACAGAGCCCTCTGCGTCGCCTGTGCCTTCAGCGCTGTGAAGTCTGGACATAGCTGTGAAAGATTTACAGGAGGAACTCCAGCTCTCTCCAGCTGAGGCAGGAGTGGCTACAGCCCCAGACAAAAATCAACTTGTTTCTCCATTTAATTATTTGGGATTTCAACTTTTTCCAAATTGTATTAACCCCCCCCCCAAAATTTCCATAGCCCAGATGTTTTTAGCCATCTTTCAAAAGGCATCAGAATTCAAAAGTTTCAAATCTTAGGACTTCCCTTGGTATTCTTACGAGCCTCAAGAATGCCAACAGATTAATCTCCCGTTTTGGGGAGACAGTTAATCAGGTTGAATTAGATTAAGTCTATTGCCAAATGGCCGTGACGCACATCCCAGAGTTTGGGACACCGAAGCACGCGCGTGTTACTGTCGACACTTGCTCTGGATTCGTTCTAGCTACTCCTCAGACGGGGGAATAAGGCACGCTCTGGCCCATTTCAACACATGTTTTTCCATCTTGGGCACTCCCAAAGTTATTAAAACTGATAACAGCCCCTGCTATACCAGCAGTAAGTTCTGTGATTTTGCTGCCTCCCACCATATACAACTAATTACAGGCATTCCTTATACTCCTCAAGGACAAGGTATTGTGGAATGTGCCAACCATACTAAGGATTACCTTATTAAGACAAAAAAGGGGGCGTATAGCACTCCCCGAGATCATTTGAACCTTGTATTATTTATCTTAATTTTCTAACATTGGACGGTCAGCTGCAGATCGCCATTGGAATCTGTGTCTGGAGCAGAAGGGTTACGTGATGTGGAAGGATCCCTTGACCGGTCAGCGGCAAGGCCCAGATCCCGTCCTCATATGGGGGCCAGGATCAGTTTGCGTTTTCCTAGAAAACGAAAATGGCCCATGGTGGATTCCTGAGAGGCTTGTCCGACAGGCTCCTGCTGGGAGTCTTGTGAAAGCTCGGAACTGGCCACGGTGATGGCATTTGAGTTGGAAGATCGGCGGGACAAGCAAGTATATTGGGCCTTTATATAATATATAAGTGTATTAATATATTGTTAAGCACCCCTCCTTTTCTTTCTCCTGTGAGCACCAAGGTACCGCTATTTCCTGCCTTTTCTAAGTGGCAGCTTTGTGGGGAATGGCATGCACCCCCCTTTTTTCTTATTAAGGGAGGCGATTATTCCTATGGAACTTATCAGTTCAATCACTCCTCTGGGTCTGAGGACTCGCTCACGTGACCCTCAGCTCCTTGAATTTTAAGCCTGTGTCTGTGTGTATTCTCCCCCCGTCTTTCTCTTACATACAGAAAATGTCTCTGAAGTGAGTCGCACCGAGGTCAGCTGACGCTAACAGCGCGTTGGAATGGCAATGGTGATGCTGCTGTTGTCCTGCAGCTGCCCTGAATCCTGCCTGTGCCCGTTGGCACTGACGGAGAGGCCTCTGTTGGCCTGATAAGGTGTAAAAGTGACTTTGGGATAATACCGACCATCGTAGCCACCGTTGCCCTGGCGTCGGCGCCACCACCACAGCAGCGGTGACCCTAGGACACCCTACAGCGACCACGGAGACCGTGAACAAGCTTGCGGAACTGACCGCTTGAGCTATGGAACAACAGAGCTGTGTAGATGAGCACATGCAGGTGGGATGCTTACGTTGTGACCGCAGGTTGATGTGCTGGCAGAGGAGCAGCAGATGCTGTGGGATATGATCAGGGCCTCTTGTTCCCCATCATGTCTTTATGTGTGTGACACCTGTGCAAGTGCAAAATGTGTCCCAAGCCCAGGAACTGCTGTCTGCTCGTTGCTACCGAGTTAAACACTCCTAGCCCTGGAGCAGGGTTACCAGCCTCCCCAAGTATGGTTTGTGCTGCAGGCAACGTGTTGAATGGCTGCCAGTGACGGGTAAAATGGACCGGGCACTGACCAACCTAAGACAGGGGCTCTGTCACGCTACGGAGATTCCCGATGACGGGTAAGGCTGATGACCAGAGAGTCCATAACCTAAGAGGTGCATACAAGTCGGCTTGAAAACAAAAAGGGGGACCTGTTGTGGGCTAAGGAGTTGATTTGCGTTCCTTAAGCTGAGCATTACAGGAAATGGGCTTGCGGCTAAAAGCACCTGGTCTAATGGGACTCACTGGCATCCTATTTGGTTAAAGCACTGGGGAAAGTGTATATAAGGGGCAATGAAGGGAGGCTTCGCAGAGACTCCCACCATCACTGGTCTCCTGTTGGTGCTTCATCCCCAGACCCTAGCCGTGTCCACGTTACTGGCTCTGCTGGTCGTTGCACCTCAGTAACAGGTGGCTGGGTGGCAACTGGCAGGCATATCAGCAACAGCCCGGAGCTGTTGCCCGCGGCTACGGCCCTGAGTGCACAGGGCAGCAGCTTCCACAAGCTGCACACCGCCCTGGAGCAGGCAGCCAGTCTCCTGCGGCAACAGCTGCTTCCAACCAGCCCCGGACTCAATGGGATGAACCCACGGAGCTGCCAGCCACCGGCAGCAATGGCAGCGGCCAGGAGGCTGCCTCTCGGGGGCGAGTTCACGGGCTGCCAGGACCTGACCCCCTCCCACCCCCCACCCTGGCAGCTGCCTGCTCTAACAGGCTTTAAACACACTTAAAGTTCCTAAAGTGTTTTTTTTTTTTTTAAGAATTATTTATTGTTATTGGAAAGCCAGATGTACAGAGAGGAGGAGGAGGAGAGAGAGGGGAAGATCTTCCATCCAATGATTCACTCTCCAAGTGACTGCAACAGCCAGTGCTGCACCGATCCAAAGCCAGAAGCCAGGAGCCCCTTTCAGGTCTCCCACACGGGTGCAGGGTCCCAAATTTTTGGGCAGTCCTCGACTGCTTTCCCAAGCCACAAGCAGGGAGCTGGATGGAAAGTGGGGCTACTGGGATTAGAACTGGCACCCATATGGGGTCCTGGCACATGGACTTTAACCACTATGCTATCATGCTGGGCCCTCGTTCCTAAGGTTTTTCCATTCTTATGTACAGCTAATTCCTGACGCCAAGTCCTCTTTCACGGTTGGTTTACCACAAGTCAAAACACCAGTTGCGATATTAAGAGATCCTTTCATTACAATGGACCTGAACTGGGGTGCAGGTGGGGGACACAGGGAGAGAGCTGGGGTGGAGGGCACAGGGAGGAGCTGGGGTGTGTGGTGGGGGGCACGGGAGGAGCTGGGGTGGGGGGCACGGGGAGGAGCTGGGGTGTGGGTTTGGGGCACAGGGAGGAGCTGGGGTGGGGGTGGGGGCCACAGGGAGGGAGCTGGGGTACGGGGTTGGGGGCACGGGAGGAGCTGGGGTGCAGGGCACAGGGAGGAGCTGGAGTGGGGGGCACAGGGAGGAGCTGGGGTGCGGGGTGCAGTGCACAGGGTGGGGTGAATGCTGTGGGCAAGGGGAAGCAGAACAGCCACAGGGATGTGGGAACTGCCCCCACGTGCCCCGTGCTGTGCTGCACAAGCAGTCCCAGCTCCCAGGTCCAGCAGCTGAGCCTGCTCCTGGGGGCCAGGATCCCTTCTGCCCAGGGGCTCTGCAAGATTGGGGGGAAGAGTCCAGGAACAGGGCACCGCTCAGCAGAGGACAAGGGCAGCAGGGCTCTGGCCAGGGTGGCCATCCTGTAAGGTTCCTGGGGCTCCCTGCTCAGGGGCTGCCACGTCACCTGAGGCTCACTCCACTGGACGGTGCTCATAGCCCGTCTGAAGCGCCCGGGGCTTCCACTGCCGTTTCTTCAAGTACACCCCAGGAAGGCAGCCCAAGGTGACACCCCACATCCTGGGAGCCCCCAACACGTGGAGACCCAGAGGGACTCCAGGCTCCTGGCTCTGGCTGGCCCAGCCCCAGCCCAGCTGTGCACATCTGAGGCGTAAACACCAGTTAGTCGGCCTTTCAAATAAACCGATCTAATGAAAAAGACAAACGTAGACCTCCCCGTCCTAACAGAGCTACGCTGACTGGGACACCGGTTTATCTCATTGATACATTGAACAGGTGTGCAGCAACTCGGCCGGAGACTGCCACTGGGCATCCGGCCGTGCCCACCTCCCATGCCGGACCCAGCTCCAGCCAACTTCAGAACTCAAGATGGTGCGTGGAATAGAGAAATGGACCACTACAATTTCAGGATCACGATGGACAATGCAAGAAAGCTGTCCCCTTTATTTATACAGAAGCAAACTCTGGCCCAGACTTTTTACGTCATGGTCAAGTGGGTGTTTGCAGGGACAATTCTGCCGTTTGTTAAACCTTAAAGCTCTCAACAGACATGCATATCAATCAGTAACACATTCCTGCTACAATCCTCTTTCCACAACTTCATCTCCAATCAGTTAAGGGAGGAAGCGCATCACAGGGGGAGGGACCTAAGTAAAGATCAAGGAAAGGGCCCGGTGTGATAGTGTGGTGGTTAAAGTCCTTGCCTTGACTACGCCAAGATCCCATATGGGCGCCAGTTCTAATCCCGGCAGCTCCACTTCCCATCCAGCTCCCTGCCTGTGGCCTGGGAAAGTAGTCAGGACAGCCCAAAGCCTTGGGACCTGCACCCATGTGGGAGACCTGGAAGGGGTTCCTGGATCCTGGCTTCGGATCAGCGCAGCACTGGCAGTTGCAGTCACCTGGTCACCTGGAGGGTGAAACAGTGGACAAAGATCTTCCTCTCTCTCCTCCTCTCTGCACATCTGCCTTTCCAATAAAATAAATAAATCTTTTAAAAAAATAAAGATCAAGTAAAGAGGGAAAGCACTCTTCAGATAGAATCCCACCAATGCAGGGACTCAGCCCTTGACTAGCACATGGCCGATGGGGGCAGCCGGGACAGCAGGGACAGTAAAAGGCCCCTTTGTGACATTATCAGCAGCATCAACTTCCAAGCTCACTGGTAGTAAACATTAACTCCGCAGTGGCAGACAATGCCTGAACAGATTACAGAAATCTCAGTGGGGTTGTCCGGTGTCCACGCAGAGGGGCTGGAGCTGCCTTCAGGTGGATGCAGAGACACCCGGGCCCTGCCGTGCAGCGGGACATTCCCTGCAGCCCTGTCTGCAGTGGAACAGTTCACACCCTCGTGTCCTCCACGTCCACATCACGGACCCCAGCATCCCTCCCCCAAGACGGGTAGCAGCAGCCTCCTTGGTCCACCTCTCCTCTCCCCATGCCTGGAGCCTGTGCTCTTGCTGGCACCAACACGGCTGGCACGGGCAGTTTCCTCCCCTGCAGGGCTTGGCAGCCATGGGTCCCCTGGCCTCGCAGCCTGAGCTGTCCGGAGGACGCAGGGCCTGCTCGGGGCAGCGCGGCCCAGGGCCGTGTCAGGACCCGGGGCCCGGTTCCTGCTCCAGCTGTTCCAGCCGCTTTGCCACATGCTCAGGCACCTGGACCTCCAGCAGGTTCTCCATGCCTGGCTCCGGTTCATCCCCGATCAGCACCTGGCGGGCAGGAGGTGGGGCAGGGGCCAGCGGTGAGCCCTGGCCCACAGTGGGTGCCCTGCCAGGCCCTGCAGCCCCACACACACCTGAATGAGCTTCTCACAGGCCACTTTCACGTCTGGCTCTGGCTCCCAGCTGTGCAGCTCACGGAGGACCAGGTAGGCGCCCTGGTCCCGCACCTGCTGCCGGCCAGCTGCAGTGGCTGTCAGCTGGGGAGAGAGCAGGGTGCCTCGGCATGTGCGCGCCCACTCGCAGCCCCGTGCCCAGGCGCCCACCCGCGCCAGGACGCCCCTCACCAGCATGACAGCTTCTATGAGCATCTTGCGGATGTCAGCATCAGGCTCCCGCTGTTTGTCGGCCGGCAAGTACTGCAGGTCCACGGGCAGCCCTGGCGGGTGAGCGCGGGAGCTGCTGGGGGGCCGGGCCAGGCTCTGGCCGGTGACGCCCCACCCGCTCAACTCCCTGCAAGGTGGGGGGGGACACCCTCCTGCACGCCCAAGCCACTCACTGTCCATCTCTTCCTCGGAGAATTCCTCAGGCCCGGCCAGAGGCAGCAACAGGAACGGAAGGATGTCGACCTCCGGGCCCAGCAACCACTTGTGGTGTCCTGCACGTGAGGAGGAGGGCTCAGGGACGTGGTCGGCCCGCGCCCCCCACCACAGCGTCCACGCCCCAGCTGCCCCCGCCCATCACTCACGGTGCTCGAAGCAGCAATTCCGCAGCGTCCCCACCACCCCGCCCCTGCGCACAGAGGAATCCTCGTGCTGGGTTAGGGGCAGCAGCCGCTGGACCACGCACCTGGAGGGAGGGACCTCTCTCGTTGCCGGCCCCGCTGCCTTCCTCGCCCCCGCCACGGCCCTGGCCCGCGTGGGTGCCCCGGGGTCTCACCTGTCGGGGTCCAGCAGGAAGGAGCGTGCCGCGGGCTTGTGGCTGAGGTTGGAGAGCAGCGGCCCTAGGTAATGCAGGGGCGCGCGCGCATTGTAGCCGGGGGTGCACAGGGCGCGCACGACGCGCTCCAGCCCCGACCCCTCGGCGGCGCCCGTCAGCGCCTCCAGCAGCACGGCGCAAGGCGCGGGTTCGCGGCTCAGGTTGGCCAGCGCGGCGGCCGCCTCGTCGGCCCAGGGCCACTGCGGGTCCAGGGCGCGGCCGAGCAAGCGGGCCGGCAGCCCGGGGTCGGCCGCCAGCAGCGGCCCGTGCAGGCTGGGGTCGGCGGCCAGGTTCACGAGCGCGCGCGCGGCGTCGCGGGCAGGGGCCGGGGCCGGGGCGGCCGACAGCTCTGCCAGCGCCCGCAGCAGCTCCGCCTGCCCGGCCAGCAGCGCGCGGCCCGGCTCGGAGCCGGTGAGGGCCAGCACGTGCCGCGCCGCCGCCGCCTGCAGGTCGGCCCGGGCGCCCGACGCCAGGAAGGGCAGCAGCTCGGCGGCCTCGGCCCCGTGCGCCTCAGCCTCCCCCGTGCTGCCCGCCTCCCCCGTGCTGCCGGCCGCCCCGGCCTCCCCGGCCTCCCCCATGCTGCCGGCCGCCCCGGCCTCCCCCGTGCTGCCGGCCGCCCCGGCCTCCCCGGCCTCCCCCATGCTGCCGGCCGCCCCGGCCTCCCCCGTGCTGCCCGCCGCCCCCGCCGCCCCGGCCTCCCCCATGCTGCCCGCCGCCCCGGCCTCCCCGATGCTGCCGGCCGCCCCCGCCGCCCCGGCCTCCCCGGCCTCCCCCGTGCTGCCCGCCGCCCCGGCCTCCCCGATGCTGCCCGCCGCCCCCGCCGCCCCGGCCTCCCCCGTGCTGCCCGCCGCCCCGGCCTCCCCGGCCTCCCCCGTGCTGCCCGCCGCCCCGGCCTCCCCGATGCTGCCGGCCGCCCCCGCCTCCCCGGCCTCCCCCGTGCTGCCGCCCCGCGACCCGCCCTCAGGGAAGCGGAAGTCGCAGGGGCCAACCGCGGCGGGGGTGAGGCCGGAGCGCTGCATTGTGGGCCGACCGGGCGCCCCGCGTGGCCGGGAGGCTGACTGCGAGCCTGTCTGCGCGCTGCCCCGTGGGGCTCCCGCGCCCCGCTGCCTCGGGCACCCCGCGGGGTTGAGACTCACTAAAGTTTCTGGTCAGCTGGGAGCTGGGTGGGCGACGTCCCTCCCGAGGGGTCTTGGATGGGCAGGTGGTCTGCAGAGGTTGGGCGGAATCCCCCGGCCCAGTCCTGCGTGGCTAGTGACCCAGCAGGTGGGCCTTCGCCACAGAGGCACCCAGGCTGGTGTCCCGGGGAGGTGCCGGCCCCGACAAGGCCAGGCCTCGCGGGGGCGGTGGGCCGAGTGCTGGGACACCTGCCGCCTGCGGACACCCCTGGAGGCAGTGCACAAACACATCTTTCCTGGAGGAAGCCTTGCTAGGGGCTGGGCACTGCGGTGCAGCAGGGTGGCTCTCGAGTGAAAGGCTGAATTGTAAAGGTGACTGTGCTCCTGGGAGTCTGGACTCTCCCAGGAAACAGCTGCCCCTGATAAACTCTGCTTCTGGAAACGCCAGGAGCCAGGCAGGGGATGGGGTCTCGGGGCTGAGGATTTCCAGCATGCTGCTTCGCTAAATTCCAAGATTGTGCACTCTGTTTTTATTGCCTGTTTTCTGTCCCTCATCACGTATCTGTCCACTGTCCTGTACTGTTCCTTCTCACATAGATACTTGTTATAACCCCCCATTTACCGTGTGCAATGCGCTTCCTTGCTCATGGCAAGAAGTGGCCGCCTGACAATAGATATTTCACTTGCCCTTGGAGTCTCGCTTGGTTTCTTTGGACCCCAACACACAACAGCCACCCACCACCCCATCCCGTGGATGGGAAGGAAGAAAAAGCAGTGACCACACAGAAAAGTGAGCCAAGGCTTCTTCCCAGGGAGCCCTGCCCGGCCTGGGCAGCCGGGCAGAAAACCCAGCTGTGTGCTCGAGGGCGCCCCAGGACCCACACCAGATCCCCAGGTGCCGGGGTCTGCTGCTGGTCACCCCCACAGCCAGGGGGCTGCTGCTTCATGGTCTTAGAGAGCCGCAACGCCTTCTGTCGCGGGGAAGTTTGGGCTCAGCAGAATTTCCCAGCATCCCCACCCTCGCCCACCCTCAGTTCGACAACATTAGCCTGAGACCATATAGATTCCCTGGACCCTTATTTCTTTGAATTTAGGGGCAGACAGTCACTGTCTGAATGCGGCAACAGGGCCCTCCACTCGCATGCACCAGAATCCCACACAGCTACCAGTTTGTGTCCTGGCTGCTTCCCTTCCCACCCAGCTCCCTGCTTGTGGCCTGGGAAAGCAGCAGAGGACGGCCCAGAGCCTGGGACTCTACCTGCGTGGGAGGAAGCTCCTGGCTCCTGGCTTCAGATCAGTTCAGCTCCAGCCATGTGGCTACTTTGTCACTCATTTTCTCTGTAAATCTAATCTGTCTTTCCAATAGAAGTAAATAAATCTAAAAATAAAAATAAGTGTGGCAACAGCCTGGGCTGGGGGCTCTGTGCAGGTCTGCCCTGCGGCTGGTAAGGTCCAATGGGTGGCACTGAGCCATTACCACCACCGTCCAGGGTGTGTCGGCCTGGACAGCCCTGCAATCCGGCATGCCCAGGTGACCGACCCACATGTGCATGGTCAGGGTCCGTTGGGATGCCACAAAACAAAAAGGCCAAAAGCTCAGAGCATGGCCATTGCCACGACCCCACCCTGGTGCTGACAGTGTCCACCTGCTCTGCATGGGCGTCTGCCTGCCCTGTGTGGGAATGTACCTGCCCTGCGTGGGTGTCCTCCTGCCCTGCGTGGGCATCCACCTGCCCTGCGTGGGTGTCCACCTGCCCTGCGTGGGTGTCCACCTGCCCTGTGTGGGCATCCACCTGCCCTGCGTGGGTGTCCACCTGCCCTAAGATGTATCACTGCCCACTTGGTCCTGGCCTAGCTACGCACAGGCCCCTTTCCTAAGCACCAAAGCCTCTAGTCCGGCTACTTGTCCAGGAGCAGCCAGCCCTGATCGGAGGCTGTAGTCCCTGCAGTGCCCGCACTGTGGAGTCTGCCCAGCCAGCCGAGAGCATGGCCACGCCAGGCAGGCAGCACCCGTGGACTGGAGGGAGGGATGAGGCCTTGAGCCCTCCAAGGTGTCAGCTTCCGCTTCCAGGGACTGGGGAGCCAACCACAGCCCCAGCCAGGCACGAGCGCCTGAGGCTACGAGCCAACAGCATGGCCGCCTGCCACAAACACGCATGGCCTCCAAGGGCGGCGGGGAGAGTGAGGCTGGGCACGGCTGACACGGGCACCGGGTGTGTGTGGAGGGTCTCCTGACCACACCGCTGACGCTGGCAGCCTCCCCCAGGCCTCGGTCCCAGCAAGCGTCTGCGGGCCACAGGCCCAGGGTGTGGCCCAGGGGCTTTATTCCAGACACGCTCCAGCGGGCGGGGGGCGCGGGAAGGGGTCAGCGCCAGCTGTCAGGGTCCGCGAGCTCCGGCACGAAGTAGCGCTGCAGGAGTGGCCGCAGCGGCAGCGGGCAGCGCGGGCGTGCGGGCCGGGGCCAGCCCGGCGGGAAGGGCTGCAGCTCCACGCGCGGCAGGGGCAGCTTGAGCGCCCGCAGGGAACTGTCCAGGGCGCGGCCTGCGGGGCGCGTGGACTGGAGGCCCCAGCCCCGCCCGCACTCGCCCTGCAGCATCTTCTCGGGACTGGGAGCCGGCACCTCCTGGAGGCGCAGGATGGGGCAGCGCCTGCGGGAGGAGGCGGGTTGAGCTGGGTGCCCGCTGCCCCTGGCCACCCCAGTGCCCTGGCCACCCCGCTGCCCGCAGCCGCCCGCCCGCACCTGACGTCGCGCGGCTGCCGTCCCACCGCGTTGGGCGCGGGAGAGCGCAGGCGCTGCGCCTCTTCCCAGAGCAGGATGAGCTGGTTGGCCCGCTGCTGCTCGCAGAAGTAGTTGAGGGCATCGACGCAGCCCAGGTCCAGCACTTGTGTGCGTGACCACTGCGTCCTCTCCAGCGGCGGCAGCGGCAGCGGCGTGGCAGCCGGGGGCCCGAGCAAGTGCGGTCTGGCGCCGGACGCCCCGCAGAAGCTCTGAAGCGTATCCGAGAGCGTGTGCTTGGTCCCCAAGGTGCGGGATGGCAGCCCAGGCGCCTCCACCTGCGAGGGCAGCTCGGGGACGCTCTGCCCCGGCGCCCGCGGGGTCTTTGTCGCTGGGGCCTCTTTGGGCGGAAGGGCAAGCAGACAGAGCTGAGACCTGGCTGTTGGACGCGTGGCTCTCGCCTGCTGGAGAGGAGCGAGGGGTCAGCAAACAGCGGAGTCCCCTCTCCTGTCTGGAAGCCCCAGCCTCGCTCCCACCCCAGCCAGGAGCTGCCCCGCCTGGTCCCGCCTACCCGCCCCAGAACCCGGAAGCACTTCAGGGCACCTGCAGTTGCTGCACCATGCCCTCCAGCTTCTGGTAGCAGAGTTTGCGCAGCATGGCCTTGGAGGTGAGCTGGGTGCCCTGGGCCCACGTCAGCATCTCCTTCAACAGGAAGCCCTGTGGGTCCTGCAGGCCCAGCCCGTCCATCAGCCTCTTGAGTTCTGGCCTGGGCCGGAAGCATGGGTGGTCACCGTGAGATTCCAGAGTGGGACAAGCATGGCGGGGAGCAGTGGGCGTGGGGGACGCACCAGCAGGACTCCGGGGAGTAGAGGACGTAGGACATGAGCTCCAGCACCACGTCATGGCTCTCCAGCGAGCAAGCCAGAAGCAACTGCAGCGCCAGCAGCACGAACTGCTTCTGGGTGGGGTCCTGGGCGGGACGGGGCGGGGGGGGGCTGGGTGCACGGGCCTTGGGGATGGGGTCCTGGGCAGGGGGCTGGGTGCACGGGCCTTGGGGACGGGGTTCTGGGCGGGGGGCTGGGTGCAAGGGCCTTGGGGACGGGGTCCTGGGCAGGGGAGGGAATGAGTGGAGGGGTCACCTGGAAGTTGGGCGGCTCTTCCAGGTTTAGTAGCTGCAGGACGAGGTCCTGCAGCCGCCGGTGTACATCACTACCCAAGTCCGGCAGCAGCCGCAGAAGGGCATGTAGGATGTGCGTGCGGTCAGCCCAGGAAGACTCGGTCAGCTGGCACAGCAGCAGCTGGGCCAAGCCCTCCACCGTGTGGCTCTCAGGGTAGGCCTGTGGGCCGATGGGGGCAGTCAGTGGGTGCCCGGACCCCTGGTGGGCCCTGCACCCCAAGCCCCTCAGTACCTGCAGGGTGAAGGTGGGGAACATTTTCTTGAACCAGTTCTGGCTGACAAAGAAGTGCAGGAACCTGGGGAGGTGCGTGTAGGGCTCCTGCCAGACTGCGTGCGGGTGGCGAGGCTTGGCGCCAGCGCGGCCCTTGGTCCTGCCGGCCTTCGGACGCTGCAGCCTCAGGTCCACAGTGCTCTGGAGGGGGCGGGGCGGTGGACAGGGCAGCCGACGGCTCCACGTCCTGGCGCTGTGCCCGCCCCACCCTGCTGCCCCCTGCTCCTCAGTCTATACCGAAAGCTTAGGCTCCAGCAGCTGCTCTGACCGCGAGCTCAGGGAATCAGAACACTCCTCGTCCAGATCTTCCTCCTCCTCCTCCTCCTCTTCCTCCTCTTCCTCCTCCTCCTCCTCCTCCTCCTCCTCCTCCAGCAAGATCATCATGGTCTCCTGCTCCTCCTCCTCGTCCTTGGGTACCGTCTTCCCCCGCAGCCACTGCATCCACCTCCTCTTCCAGTTGCTGTTGGACCGCCGGGTGCGCCGTAGCCACTCGTCATAGCTCTCATGTGGCTGCTTACGGGGAGGCTCCCGTGAGGCCCTGGGGGGGGCAGAGCCCACCCTGCACCCCCGGCTCTGCCCCTTGCCTTGCGTCTCCTGCGTGCACGGGACCTGAGCTGAACCAGGGACCCCAGGTGGCCGACCTCCGCCGGCAGCCACAGCTGCTGCAGCAGCACCGAGTTGGGCACACAGCCCGGGAAGTTGATGGGTGGCAGGCGGCCCTGGAGACGGGCGTAACGGGCCGAGACCCTGCAGCCAACTCTCCTCACTCAGGTGCCCCCACTGGTCCGTGCCAGCCCAGGGACCCAGCAGGGACAGCTGGAGGGGGGTCAGTGTGGCTGTGAGAGGTGGGGGTGCTGGCAGAGTCCTCACGTGCCACGACTCTTCCCCCTGCCCCCTCGGCCTTGGGGCTCGGTCCCCCACGGCCCCTGCCCTGGCCGCACACCTTAAGCAGGTAGGAGGCGGGCAGGCAGAGCTGTGCTTCGCCAGGCAGAGGCGCTGATAAGCAGGGGCCAGCGTCCATAACAGCAGGACACAGAGGCACAGGGCACTGGGGTCTCACCTTGTGTATGGTGGTGGGAAAGAAGCCCCGGAGCTTGGACAGGCGCTCCCTCGGCCGTCGCTTCAGCAGCAGGGGGACCTGGGGGTTGGGGGGGCAGAGGCTCTGCACCAAGCTCTGGTCCTGTCCCCGCATGGCTCCTCGCGCAGCCTGGGACCCTTACCCGGTGCTGCAGGTAGGACAGCGAGCTCCGGCCCCGGACCGTGGCCATCTCCCAGGGGAGCTGATCTGATGACAGCACTGCGTCCATGCCCAGGCCCAGCTCGTAGCTCAGAGAGGAGCGGGCTAGGAGCTGGGGCAGCGCCAGAGTCAAGCGTCAGTCGGACCAGGCCAGCAGGTGGCAGGGGCTAGAGGTGGGCTGCCGCAGTGGCCTCACCTGGGATGCCTTGCTGTGCACCCCCTGGTGGGAAGGCCGGAGGGGCAGGGTGACACGGGGTGGGCGAGCGAAGCGCTTAACCTGGGTGTCCACGCCCTGCGGGAGCTGGGCCCTGGGCGTAACTGTCTGCCGCCTAGCACCAAGCAACTTCAACGGGTCCCCGGGGTCTTGCTCCAGGTTGCTCCACTGCTGGGACTCCCTTCCAGACTCAGGGTCCTGGGGAAGCAGGTGTGGGGGTCAGACCCAGCAGAGGCGGGGCGAGGGGAAGCGGCAGGGAAGAGGCAGAGGCACAGCCACCGGCAGGGGCGTGGGGGGATGGGGCATGGGGGGCAGAGGCACAGCCACCGGCAGGGGCGTGGGGGGATGGGGCATGGGGGGCAGAGGCACAGCCACCGGCAGGGGCGTGGGGGGATGGGGCATGGGGGGCAGAGGCACAGCCACCGGCAGGGGCGTGGGGGGATGGGGCATGGGGGGCAGAGGCACAGCCACCGGCAGGGGCGTGGGGGGATGGGGCATGGGGGGCAGACGCACAGCCACCAGCAGGCCCGCACTGCCAATGGCGCAGAGGTACTGGCTGAAGGCCTCCTGCCGCTGCCTCCAGGACAGCTGGGGCGGGGCCTCCGGGACCACCAGCCCCAGCCTCAGCTGCTGAAGGTCTCGGTTCCGGGCCGCCAGGCTGTCCAGATCCTAGGGGGGGCCAGGGCTCATCCTGCCCTCCTGCCTCCCGCTCCCCCTGCCCTCCCGCTCCCCCGTCCTTCCTCTGCATCACAGACACAGAGGCCCCAGGCTCAGCTTTGCCTGGGCAGGGGCAGTGAGGGGCCCTCACACCTCCGTCAGCTCCAGCTCCTGAGGCTCTGCCGTCTGGTGACGGGCCAAGGGCAGGGCTGCACTGCAGACAGGGACAGACACTGGCAGGGTGTTCCGGTGGGAGGCACCCAGCCCACCGGCCCCTGCCCCCAGGAGCCCTGGGCAGAGCTGGCCCACCTGAGGCTGGCCGCCCGGCGCAGGGCGAGCAACCTGTGCAGCTGAGCTGCAGGCGGCAGCTCCTCAGGGGTCAGCGGCAGTGGGGAGTCATCCATGACATCGGGGGCTTTCTGACACAGTCTCTGAAGGTGAGAGGAGAGCCTGCGCCCAGCCCTGGGGGGCCGAGGAGTCGGGCTCACTCCCCCACCGCCGCCCCTGCCCTGGCCGCACACCTTAACCAGGTAGGAGGTAGGCAGGTAGAGCTTGTGGTTCACCAGGCAGAGGCGTGAGCCCAGCGCCAGCACCAGGTCACCACCGTTGCTGCAGAAGGCCAGGGCCTGAGGGGCCCCGCTCAGCTGCAGGAGCCTGTGTGGAGCCTACCTGTCAGGGAGGGGCCCTGGCCCCATCCACCCACCCAGGGCAGCCCCGGGGTGGGGAAGCACTCCTCCAGCGCGGCACCGCACCCACCGCAGCAGGCGGTTGTCGGCGGTCCAGACACGGACCGTGCAGTCCAGGCTGGAGCAGGCGTACAGCTTGAGCGGAGGGCAGCAGCACAGGCCTGGCATGGGCGACTCCAGGTCAGGGCTCTGGCAGCGCGATGTCCTGGTGACCACACAGCACCCGCCCACCTCCTCACCGGTGATGTGATCCGAGGGGTCGTCCTGGGGTCGGTGGTCCCAGCGCGGGCTCTTGCCCAGGCCAAACTGCACCAGGCCATAGGTGGCACTGCCAGGGTCCTCAAAGCCCACCGTGATGCGCTTGCCCAGCGCACAGAGCCATGGGGCTGGGTGGGAGCAGGAGAAGGTGCGTAACAGGCTCAGGCTGTCCTCAGCGTAGGGGAAGACACGCCACATCTTCACCGTGAGGTCTCCGCCTGCGCGGAAGGGGCAGGCAGCCCACACTGGGCCTTGTGGAGGGCTGACACAGCTGCGGGGCAGGGGCAGGGGCAGGGGCAACTGCTGACCGGAGGACACGATGCTGCTCCAGGTGGACGCAATGGCCATGACCGGGCCTGGGCTATGCGCCTCGGTGCGGAAGACCGTCTGGGACGTGAGCACATCCAAGACCGACAGGAACCCGTCCGTGTGGCCCAGCACAGGCAGAAACCTGTGGGGCCACGCAGCTTGTTGGCTCGGCACCAGCCCTGGCCCCGTCTGCCCCACGTGCGTGCCAGCTCCCTGCACCCACCGGTTCTTGCTCTTCCCGGCCCGGGCCGCCACGCTGTGGTGCAGTTCGCCCCTGTGCTGGCGCACGAGCTCCCAGGTGGCGAAGGCGCTGGCGGCGTCTGGGAGGTGGCTGTAGAGGTGCAGGCAGCAGCGCTGCGGCTCTGAGGGCGGTGGCGGGGGCAGGCGGTGCAGCACACGCATGGGGCAGCTCGCCGCATTGGCGCGCACCAGGTGCCCAGCTCGGGTCAGCAGCCACAGCGCCTCACGCGGCAGGCAGTAAGCCACTGCCGCCGCGCAGTCCTCGGGCTCCAGCAAGAGCACGCTGACCAGGCGCCCTGTCGCAGCCGACAGCAGGTACACGGAGCCGTCAGCGCAGGCGCACACCAGACGCGGCGGCAGCGACGGGTGCACGGGCATGGGCAGCGTGGGCGCCACCTGCAGATGCAGCACGGGCGCCGGCAGCTGTGCCAGCGGCGAGTGGAGCTCACGCAGGGACCAGAGCCCCAAGCCGTTGGTGCTCAGTGAGAGCATGGGCCAGCCCGGGCCAACAGGGGCCAGCAAGCGGCTCACACGCGCCGACAGCGCGTCCTGGCACCAGCAGCACAGTGACACTTGGCCCACTTGTGCCGCCGCCTGCAGGTCCCAGGTGCGCAGCGTCCCATCCTGCGAGGCTGACACCACGTGCGTGGTGCCGGGGAGCACAGCCATCGCTGTGACCGGGCCTGGGCGTGGGGGGAGGAAGGGGCTCAGGTCACCCCTTGTGCACCACTGGTCGCAGGTGGACTCAAGTGCGCCAGAGCAGCAAGCGTTCTGGGCAGCTGGGAGTGGACGCGCTGCAGCCCACACCTGTGTGGCCCACAAACACCATCCGGATCTGCCAGTCGGACTCCCACACCTTCACCGTGGTGTCACGGGATGCAGTCACCAAGGCCTCCACCTCCTCGCAGTACGCCAGGTCCGATACGGTGCTGCAGTGGGCAACACTTCCTGTGGCCCAGGCCCTAGCAGGCACCCTGGGACACCCCTGCCAGGCCCCTCCTGTCCAGGCCCTCTCACGTTTTGTGCAGATCCCGGCGCACATCCACAAGAGCCCAGTCCTGCAGGTCCAGGGTGAGGACTGCAGAGCCGTAGGCCACCAGGCAGCGTGGGAGGCCGTGAGGGGGCACCGGCCACAGAGCCAGTCGCTTCAGCGTCCCCTCTAGGCTGGCCGGGAGCTGCAGGGGCGACCCCCGTGGCACCAGACAGCGACCCCCCGAGCGGAACCTCCACAGCGCCAGGCGGCCGGCCTCCTCCACCACCAACAGCAGCCCCAGGTCAGGTACCGGCAAGCAACAGGTGATCTCGCAGCCTACTCTGGGCTCACTGGTCCACAGCAGGCTGAGGTCAGCCCGCAAGATGGCCAGTCCTGCCGGGCCCCAGCCCACAAAGCGGCCCACGGCGCCCAGTGGGCCCAGCACAGCCGCCAGCCCCATCAGGGCGCCGGGGGCCAGCAGCTTGCCCTGCGCCCAGCCATCCCTTCGGTGCAGGTGCAGGCAGCCCTCACCGTCGAGCACCACGAAGCGTCCGGCTGACGGGTCTATTGCCACGGAGCGGAGCCCAGCAGGGACCTCCAGACGGCGCAGGGGCTCCAGGCCGTGGGTCAGGCGCGCGACCCGCAGCTCTGCTCGCTTCTCCTGCGGAGGGGCGGGGAGACTGCGGCGTTTGGCTGCGAGGGCAGTCCAACGGGGCCAGGACCCAGGGCGAGGTGGGGACCCCAGGAAGAGGCCAGGACCCCCAGGGCGGGGTGGGGACCCCAGGATGAGGCGGTTCCCCCAGAGAGGGGCGGGGGCCCCAGGAAGAGGCCGAGCCCCAAGGCGAGGCCGGAGCTGCACCTTTTCCACCAGGTCGTGGAGGCCTGCGCGCAGGAGGAGCCACAGCTGGCGGGCACGGGCGCGCACCGTGAGGCTGCGCCACCTCTGGCTGCCGGCCAAGGACTGCGTGGCGTGCGGGGGTCCCGAGAGGCGCAGCTCTGCGGGCGGGGGACCGGGTCAGCCGGCCGTCAGCTGGCCGTCAGCTGGCCGTGCCTGGGCGCGGGGTGGCCGGCCAGGCGGCCAGGCCGAGCCGCCGGAGGACCCGCCTCACCGTCCTCCTCGGAGAGCAGCCCAGGGTCGGGCACGTCGCAGGCCTCCGCGTCGTACAGGTCCTCCTCCTCGGCAAGCAGGCCGTCCCCTGCGGGGTCCGGCGCTGCCCCCTCCATCTCGGCGGCCAACAGTCCCGGGGAGCGTTGCCCACCGCCCCTCCCGTTGCTAGGAGTCCACGGCCGCACGCCCCGCCCCGCCCCCACCCGGGCCGAAACGAGGGCCGCGCCAAGTCAGGAAACTTTTATTTGAAACAAACGAGCTGCAGCAAAGTGACACTCAGTGCACACGGCCCAACGGGCGAGGTGAGGAGTCGGGGGCGCCGAGGGCCATCCAAGGTCAGAGCCGGGGGCTGTGCGCGCAGGGGTCCACACACAGGGCCCCGCGGGCTGGAGTGTGGCCCCGGAGGGAAATACAAAAATAAACTCTGTGGTCCAGCGTCCTTGTCGCCGCCGCTGTGTCGCAGGGTCCCTGCTGCCCAGCGCAGCCTGGCACGGGGCAGGAGAGTGCAGGCTGAGCCCAGAGCCGGCAGGCGTGGCCGGGGGCAGCGCCGGGCTCCGGCCAGCAGCAGGGCGGCCCGGGCACCTCAGGCCAGCAGGTGTGCGCCTGGTCCAAGCTGGACGAAGCTGGCTCTGCTCCTCCTCCTCGCCGTCACATACAAACCACAGGGACTCTGGCCGGGGGTGCACACAGAGGGCCTTAAGGAGCCCCCACCCAGAGGTGGGGCACAGCACCCCCACGACCCACTGCCCAGGCCCGGCACACACCTGTCCTCCCTGGCGCCGGCCTCCTCCGCCCCCGCCTCGCCGCCTGGCTCTTTCTCCATCTCCTCTTCCCCCAGCTCCATGTCCAGCTCCTGGCCGGACTCCGACGGGGTGTAGGTGGAACCGCTGCCGAGACAGGGAAGTCCCTCAGGTCCGGCCGGGGAGGACGCCTGGGCTGGGCTGGGCTGAGGGGAGGACACCCCGGCTGGGCTGGGCTGGGCTGGGCTGAGGGGAGGACTCCCAGGCTGGGCTGGGCTGGGCTGAGGGGAGGACACCCCGGCTGGGCTGGGGCAAGGATGCCCGGGCTGGACTGAGCTGGGCTGGGCTGGGCTGGGCTGAGGGGAGGACACCCAGGGTGGGCTGGGCTGGGCTGAGGGGAGGACACCCCGGCTGGGCTGGGGCAAGGATGCCCAGGCTGGACTGAGCTGGGCTGGGCTGGGCTGGGCTGGGCTGGGCTGAGGGGAGGACACCCAGGGTGGGCTGGGCTGGGGCGGCCGACCTGATGGAGCGACAGCTGAAGAAAACAATGCGCTTCAGCCGCTTGTTGTAGAAGAAGTAGTTGAAGGACCAGAGGCTGCCGTCTTCCCCGAAGGGATCTGAGTCCAAGTCGGGGTTATAGCTGGGGGTGCAAGAATGGGGAAGGAGACTGAAAAGGCCCCCATACCCGTGCCCCAGCCCTACATGTCCCCCCCACATCTCCACATCTCCCCGTCCCCCCATCTCCCCATATCTCCCCGTCCCTCCATCTCCCTGTCCCCCCATCTCCCCGTGCCTCCATCTCCCTGTCACCCCATCTCCCCGTGCCTCCATCTCCCTGTCCTCCCATCTCCCCGTCCCCCCCGTCTCCCCACCTCCCCGTCCCCCCATCTCCCCATCCCCCACATCTCCCCGTTTCCCCCGTCTCCCCGTCCCCCCATCTCCCCGTCCCCCCATGTCTCCCCGTCCCCCACGTCTCCCCACATCTCCCCGTCCCCCCCGTCCCCCAAGTCTCCCCGTCCCATCTCCTTGTCCCCCCACATCTCCCCGTCCCTCCATCTCCCCATATCTCCCCGTCCCCCCACGTCTCCCCGTCCCCCCGTCTCCCCGTCCCCCCACGTCTCCCCGTCCCCCCACGTCTCCCCGTCCCCCACGTCTCCCTGTCCCCCCACGTCTCCCTGTCCCCCCACGTCTCCCCGTCCCCCACGTCTCCCCGTCCCCCATGTCTCCCCGTCCCCCAAGTCTCCCCGTCCCATCTCCTTGTCCCCCCATGTCTCCCCATCCCCCAAGTCTCCCCGTCCCCCACGTCTCCCCGTCCCCGTCTCCCTTGTCCCCACACCTGTAGATGTCACACTCAGCCAGACAGATCTCGTCGTCCACAGCATCCCACAGCTGCGGCCTGAGGGCCCGGAAGTCGTCTCGCACAGCAGAGAAGAGGCTGCAGTTGACAGCGTTCACCACCTAGGAGGGCACGTCCCAGGCTGACGGGGCTGGCCGTGCCCCCCACCCCCGCAGGACCGGCGCCCTGGGGCCTCCTGGGCCTCACCCAGCTCAGGCTGGGCTCCCGGCTGAACTCGTGGCTGCGGGCCGCGCTGAAGTCGTAGTCGGGCCGGAAGGACTCATTGAGCGTGGCGATCAGGTAGAAGAGGGTCTTACGGCTGCACGTGTCGCTGAGCGGGCCCTCGTCCTCGCCGCCCTGGCTCCTGCCCAGCCTGCGGGCACACGGAGTCAGCGCCCCCCCGGCTCGCGCCCTGGCTGCCTGGGGCCGCCGCAGGCCCACTCACCTGCTGGGGCTCAGGCCCGAGGTCTGCGGTGGGGACAGTGCCTCCAGCACGTGGGGCTGACCCTCCTGGCAGAACTGCTTGAACATGTGCTTGTCGTCGCCTGCCATCTTGCACGAATAGCTCTCAATCCTGGGGGTGCAGGCAGGACCGTGGAGGACCCCCACATCCCCCGTCCTCCCACACCGGCGCTGGGCACAACGCCTCACCTGCCAATGATGTGTGCGTCTCCCGTCTCCACCGTCAACTGTGAGTTGATGGCCTCGAAGCTCGAGTTCTCCAACAGCTTCATGTTCTTGTGTGCGGGGTGCTCCGGGGGGCTGTGCTGCCTGAGGGCCGACGGGCAAGGCTGGTGGTCTCCCCGCCCGCCTGCCTGAGAGCTCTGCTGCCTGGAGGGGCAGGGGAGCCCCTCAAGATCTCATTTCACCTCCTTCCCTAGGCTCCCCACCTCCATCCTCCAAAAAGCAGCGCCCCCCAAACCCGGACTAAGTGGGGAGGGTCCTGCACCCCACGGAGGGCCCGACGGACACCTGCCGGGGCTCTCCTGTCCCGGGGCTGCCTCCTGGTATGGAGGGAAAGAGCCCCGTGACCCCGCTGGGCAGCGCCGACCCTACAGCCCCGTGACCCCGCTGGGCAGCGCCGACCCTACAGCCCCGTGACCCCGCTGGGCAGCACCGACCCTACAGCCCCGTGACCCCGCTGGGCAGCACCGACCCTACAGCCCCATGACCCCGCTGGGCAGCAGGGACTCCGTCACCCCGTGAGCAGCACCGACCCCGTGACCCCGCTGGGCAGCAGCGACCCCGTGACCCCGTGACCCCGCGCGGCAGCGGCTCCGGCCGCGACTACAACTCCCAGCAGGCAGCGCGCCTCCGGCCCAGGAAGCCGTGCGCGGGCAGCGGGGCCCGGGGGCTGCGGCCGCAGGGCGGACACCCACCTGCCTGGCCGACCAAGGCCTCGGGCCGTGGGCCTCAGGGCCTCGGGCCGCTCCGCCGCGACGTCCCGTCACTCCCGGCCCTGGCGGCCCCCACGGCGCGCCTGCGCCGCATAGCCCCGCGCCCTGCCCCGCGCCGCCCCGCCGCGGACCGCCCCGGGTGCCCGAGAAGGCCAGCCAGCGACCGCCGCTCCCCGCCGGACAACAACAAGCGTCCGCCGGGCCCGGCCTCACGCCTTGGAATGGCCTGCTGCAGCCTCCGGGTCCCGAGCGCGGACCGCCATTGGGGGCGGGACCCGTCACTCAGCCGGGCCTTGCCCGCGGACTGGCTGGCACAGCTGCCCGTCACGCTCCTGGCCCGGCGAGCCCGCCTTCCTCCGCGGTACCGATTGGCTGGGACTTGTGCGGCCCCGCCCCTGGGCGGGGTGGGGGCGAAGCGCCGACCCGGCTCCCGGAACCCTCGGCTAGCGGCTCACGTTTCCGGGCGGCGGCGGCGCGGGGCGTGCCCGTCACCCGGAAGCGGCGGGCGCTGCAGATGGCGCCGCCGGCCGGAGGGGCCGCGGGGACCGGAGCGGCCGCGGGGTCCAGCTCTGCCGCCGTGCTGCTAGCCGTGCACGCCGAGGTGCTGCCGCTCGACGCCGGCGCCGGGGCCGAGGCGCAGCTGCGGCGGCTGCAGCTGCGCGCCGACCCCGAGCGGCCCGGGCGCCTGCGGCTGGACGTGCTGGGCGCGGGGCCGGGCGCGGTGAGTCGGGGCGCGATGAGTCGGGCCGGCGGGAGGCCGCGGCGCGCGGACGGCTGAGCGCGCTGTCCCCGCAGGTCGGCTGGCAGTGGCCCCTGGAGTCCGTGTCCTACGCCGTGCGGGGCCCCAGCCAGCACGAGCTGCAGCCTCCCCCGGGCGGCCCCGGCGCGCTCCGGCTGCAGTTCCTCAGCTCGCAGGAAGCGCAGCGCTGGGCGGCCCTGGTCCAGGGGGCCTCGCTGGACGGACAGGACCGACAGGACCGACAGGACCGACAGGACCGACAGGACGGACAGGACGGTGGGTGCTGGGGGGCCGGGGCTGGCCTGCTGAGGGGCCGGGCAGCTGGGGGGCTGGACGCACCTGTCCTGCTGACGGGGAGCTGGGGGGCTGGACGCACCTGTCCTGCTGACGGGGAGCTGGGGGCCTGGGCGCACCTGTCCTGTTGACATGGGGAGCTGGGGGGCTGGACGCACCTGTCCTGCTGACGGGGAGCTGGGGGGCTGGACGCACCTGTCCTGCTGACGGGGGGCTGGGGGGCTGGACGCACCTGTCCTGCTGACGGGGAGCTGGACGCACCTGTCCTGCTGACACGGGGAGCTGGGGGGGCTGGGCGCACCTGTCCTGACATGGGGGGATGGGCGCACCTGTCCTGCTGACATAGGGGCTGGGGGGCTGGACGCACCTGTCCTGCTGACGGGGAGCTGGGGGCCTGGGCGCACCTGTCCTGTTGACATGGGGAGCTGGGGGGCTGGACGCACCTGTCCTGCTGACGGGGAGCTGGGGGGCTGGACGCACCTGTCCTGACATAGGGGGACGGGGGCGGGGCTGGGTGCACCTGCCCTGCTGAGTGAAGTGAGGACGGGGGGGCTGGGCGCACCTGTTCTGCTGACACGGGGGGGACGGGAGTGACGGGTGAGGCTCAGGAAGGTAAGAGGCTGAGAGCACGGAATCACAGGACTGTGGGTGCCGTGGTGGAGCTGCACTGCTGCTTCATGAGCCTAGCAGAGGGAGGCAGGGAGAGAGGATGGCATAGCCTGTCGGGTCAGGCAGGAAGGGACAGAGCGACAGTCGGGCCATTTGCCAAGCAGGGAGGAACGTGAAAACACTCCTGGGAAAAATGGAGTTAAAAGTTAGGGGCCAGTGCTGTGGCATTGCAAGCTCATCTCCTGCCTGCAGTGCTGACCTGGACATGGGTGCACCACTGGCGGCTCAGCTCCCTGCTTATGGCTGGAAAGAGTGCCTGGGCCCCTGCCCATGCGGGAGACCCAGGAGCTGGCAGCTGATGGCTCAGCTCTGGCTGTGGCAGCCTGTGCGGAGTGACACAGCAAGTGGGACTCTCTATGACTTTCAAATAAAATAAGTAAGTTTTCTTTTTTAAATGTATGTTGGGATACTAAAGTGTTGCACATACGTGTAAAGTGACTTTTTGCAAAGTTGCAGTTGAGCAGAGGCAGCCTCTGGCTCACTTGGGTGGCTGCAGCGAGGACTGGCCAGGCTCACGCTCTTCCCGGGCCTCCCTGTGGGTGCAGGGACCTCGGCACTCCGGCTGTTTCCCAGGCCGTAAGCAAGGAGCTGGAAGGAAAGTGGGGCCTCAGGAGGGCGGAGAGGCCAGCCTGCCTGGGGGCACCCTGCACCAGCAGCAGTGAAGCATGGGCCAAGCTGGGACACAGGGCCCCATCTCCCCTCCATCTTACCTCCTAGGCAGTGGCAGCCCACCCCCAGCCCCACCCAGTCCCCCTGAGGCCCCCACGCCCAGAGCCCCCCAGCATGAGGTGGATCTGCCCTGGAGCTCCGGCGGCCAGGTGGAGAACGGTAAGGGTACGGGTAGGCAGCCGGGCGGGCTGGGGTGGGCACTGGGCACGCAGTCCCAGCTGTCCACCCTCGCCCTGCAGAGGAGCTGGCGGGACGCCTGGCCCGGGCCATCGAAGCTGGAGATGAGGAGGGGGCGGCCCACGCGGCAGCCGCGCTAGCTCAGCATCACGCGGCCCTCAGTGTGCGGCTACAGGAGACCTGCTTTCCCCTGGGGTCCCTCAGGTGAGGCCCTGCCCACCCCGTCCCAGCCCCGCCCGCCCCGCCGCTGCCCCACCCGCCCCCTGACCCTGAACGTGGCCCAGGCTGCAGGTCACAGTTGAGGACGCCGCGTCCGCTGCATCCATGGCGTCATCAGCCCACATCTCGCTGCAGGTCCACCCGTACAGCACCATTGCCGCCCTGCGGGAGCAAGTGAGCACAACCAAGGGCCACTGGCCTCCCTGCCCGGTCCCCGGCCCAGCCCTACACTCTGGCCCTAGGTGTTCTCCGAGTCTGCCTTCCCTGCCCAGTCCCTGGCCCAGCCCTACACTCTGGCCCTAGGTGTTCTCCGAGTCTGCCTTCCCTGCCCAGTCCCCAGCCCTACACTCTGGCCCTAGGTGTTCTCCGAGTCTGCTTTCCCTGCCCAGTCCCTGGCCCAGCCCTACACTCTGGCCCTAGGTGTTCTCCGAGTTTGGCTTCCCGCCTGCCGTGCAGCGCTGGGTCATCGGGCGGTGCCTGTGTATCCCTGAACGTAGCCTGGCCTCCTACGGCATCCGGCACGACGGAGACCCTGCCTTCCTCTACCTGCTGTCAGCCACCGGAGAGTCGCCAGGCTAGTCCCCGGTCCTGTGGTGTGAGGGCAGTGAGGGTACAGCCTGGCATGACCCTGAACCTGCTTCCTGTTGCAGGGTTCAGCCCTCAGCGGCCCCTGAAGACAGAAGGGGAGCTGAGGCACCTATGTGGCCAGCCACAGGGGCTGCCAGGGGCTCAGCCGGCCAGCTCCAGCCTCCCCAGCCCCTTGCAGGTGAGCCAGGTGGGAGTGGGCAAAGCCTGGGTGGTGCTGTGCCACCAGGAAGGGCAGGGAAGCAGACCCCTGTCCCTTTTTCCCAGCCCGGCTGGCCCTGTCCTTCATGTACCTTCATCAACGCCCTGAGCCGCCCAGGCTGTGAGATGTGCAGCGCCCAGAGACCCTGTGCATGGGACCCCCTGCTCCCAGCTTCCGCCTAGCACCCCGAGGTACCAGAGTGGAAACCCCCGGGGCAGCGGAACTGGAGTGGGCCAGCAGCCCAGGCATGACTGGTCTATTCCCAGGTGGTGGAAGACACGGCCAGAGGCCCTCGGTCCTGGATCACTTCACGACCATCTCGGGGCAGCTTTGCTGGGGAAGGGACATTAAAGATGCTCAAGAACTGCCTGTGTCCCTGCCTCCGTCTTTGCCACGAGCCGCCCCAGCCCTGGCCATGGGGCCCGAGTCCTTCCCGAACCCCCAGTCCAGATGCTCCCCCACAGGGCAGGATGCAGTGGGTCTATGCTCACAGCACCTGCTGGCTCACTCCCCCACAGCCTCCCACAGGGTGAAGGATCCCACCACAGGCACCCCAGAGGGTCTACTGAGGTCACACGTCATGGCTCCCCATCATCAACAGCTGCCATGGCTGCTGGGAGGGGGGTCCCCGAGCAGGTCCGTCCTCTCCCCAGGTGCTGCGCCTGGGCACACCCCTCCCACAGTCCCTTCTTTGCTCCCTGTCTCAGCGCCGCAGGGCTGCTGCTGTGACGAGCAGGGCGCTGACCCCAAGGACCCATGCCCTCAGCCCGTCAGAGAACAGTTCTGCTGGGTACAGAGACAAGTTTAATTTATTCCTGTGACGGGCCAAGGTGGCGGTTCCAAGCTGGCCGTGTTCTCCCGTCCCTCCGCACTGGCCCAGCTGGAGCCTCACTGAGCCCAAGCGTCCTTCAGGCAGGCCGAGTGGCACAGCCCGGTGAGTTCACTTGGGCGGCCGGTAGGCCAGCTTCCGACTCTTGAGGACCGACCACTTGTGCCTCTTCATGGCGTACAGCAGGGGTAGCAGCAGGCCCATCATCAGCAGCATCTAGGGACAGAGCCGGCTCAGGGGGGAGCCCGAGCAGCCCCTGCCCCTGCCCAGCCCAGCCCGCCCCCGTACCCCACCCCGCTGCCTGCACCTTGAGCCCCATGCGCTTGCGGTGGTCGTGCTCTGGCTCCGATGCCCAACGCAGGAAGGTGCACACGTCCTTGGCCACCTGGGACATGGTGGCCGGGGTGCCTGCGAGAGGGACAGATGGAGCTGGTGGTCACCCGGGCAGGGTGTGGGAGGAGGGCACCCAGCAGCCCGAGGCGGCTCTCACCATCGTCGAACTCCAAGACCTCGTTGTAGATGGGCGGGGCCATGCCGATGGCCTGGCCCGGGAAGTAGGGGTTGAAGTAGAGGCCTTCGCGCAGGGACACGCCCGTGGGAGGCTCGCAGTAGCCCGTGAGTAAGGAGAAGACATAGTCCTCACCTCCATGCCTGCAATCAGACCCCGGTGTCAGCTCCGAGCAGACGCG